CCTCAGTTCTCAGTTCTTCAGCTGCTTCGGTTGCAGGGCCAAGCCAGTCGCTTGCTCATTTCAAACTTTTGACACAGAAACTAATTTTGGCAAGCGGGTGCTGCCAAGCGAGCAGAAGCAGGAGCAGCATCTATTGGCTTCTGGTTCCTGGCTCCTGGCTCCTGGCTGTTGGCTGCTGGCTCCTGGTTGCTGTTGCTTTCCGGGTTTTTGCCGTCTTCTGTGCATTTAGTGGCTTTTCATTCTTTTGCTGATTGCAATATTTCATTGCCTTTGCGGTTCGTGTGTTGCATACTTTCGAGCGTCGCTGAGGTTTGCCTTAATTAATTGCCCCCCAAACCCGCCAAACCCCCAAATGCGCAGCTGCACTTCCCATTTCCTCAGTTCTTGGTTTTTCCTTCAGCCTTTCCTTTCACGCTTCCCTCCTCTCTCTCTCTTCCAATCGCAATTGTCACCGGGCAGCTGCATTTTTCGCATGCCGCCTGCATTTTAAAGTGCTTCGGCATCGAATGGCACTTTAATTGCAATTTGATTTGATTTACGTCGCCTTGATGGCGGTCTCCTTTACACACATACCCCGCCCCCTTCCCCTCCCAGACCCCCTCTAATAGTTTGTGCAATTAACGCCCAGCTGGAAAAGCTCGCGGGGCCTTGGGCCTAACAATGTATCTGAAGCGCAAGGCTGTCAAATCAACTTGTCGGACTCTGCATATCAAATTTACTGATTTACGGCATTTTGATTATGTGTTAAGTGTGTGTGCTTGTGTGTGTTGTGTATATTACCCGTTATGTTGTGCCCAGCAGTTGGCTAATTGCAACTGACAGCTGGGCAAAGAGTTCAGAGTCGGGAGCATGCCCTGATATGTGGGCAGATGATATAACAAACGAGCCAAATGCCTTAATGCGAACCAGCCTAAAGACTATAAAAGATACTTGAAAATTGTTTTTTCCCATAAACAAATCAAATGATTTTCCTGCTCTTTCACTTGGCCAAAGGTTAAATGCCACACTTAAAAATAAATGTACAATCCTAAAAGCTACAAGCTCACAAATTGATACACATTTAAAATCCATATGAGCTTATTGTGTTGTCATATTGTTTTCAAATGGCAACATTGAGATAAAGTTTTAAATACCCTGTATTCATTGATAAATTGCTGGCAAGGGGTATACTGTGTGCGAATGTGATTAATTCGGAAAAGAAGGCGGAGACTTTGAGAGCAAGAGAATTGAAATATAAATTGAATTTCATTACATCCAAAACTGTAAAATAACGCAGGGGTCAAGCATTCATTTCTTGTATATAAACATATTTTAAAAATATATTTTTACAGGCCGAAAGTTTCATAAAGATTCAATAATAAAACAAAAGTTTAATAAAGAATGAAGGCTGGGCAAGAAATTATTTTTAAGCATGCATATTTCCTGAGGCTCTTCTTAACTAAATACAGGGTGTCTCCTAGTCGAGCAACGTCCATTCTGACTTCTTTTCAAGCTGCACTTTCCACCTATACGAATTCACACAGAATGTTTTAATTTCGTTCAGCTCTCAACAAACTCTCAATCTGTTAAGCACACACAGATACACACACACACACACACACACACACACACACACACACACACACACACACACACACACACACACACACACACACACACACACACACACACACACACACACACACACACACACACACACACACACACACGGACATACACAGGCACACACACTTACACGCATACGTAAGGCAAATCCAAACAATTTTCTTTGAAATTAAGCCATTAAACGAGACCAAAAGGCAAAGCGTATGAAAATTCAAGGATGTGAAAATTCTGTTTGCAATCATATTTAACCCCCTCCCCCTTTTCCTTCCCTAACAACTGCCGATTGCCCGCAAGTGGGCGTGGCATGTGCACAACTTATGCATTAAGCTGCCATAATCAAAGCCGGCCCCTACCCCCTGTCCCCCCTCCTATCGACCGAGCATATGGCGTGTGAGAGATTGTGTTTTAAAAATGCAATTATTGAAAATGTTATTATGCTATCAGAGGCAGAGGGTCTGTCGAGTGGGGCGGTGGGGCGGGGCAGCTGCATCGAACGTTGACCAAAACGAGCGCAAATTTCCACAAAATTGCAACAATAAAAATTAGCAATTGAGATGCGCATCTTTCAAAGTCAATTTACAGCTGAAGCGCGCTGCTAGCGTGGCCAAAATATGCAGTAAAAACTAGGAAAAGGAAAATTAAATGCTGCTTCACATGCTGCTAAAATTTCACTCATGCCGTTAATAATGCAAATGAAAATGGCAATGGAAATGCCGAATGCCAAATGCCGAATACGAATGCTAATGGAAATGGAAATGGGAGATGCGAGCTGGTAAATGGCAGATGTACAAGCAAATGAAGCAATGGGCTAAAGAGCTGATTTCATTTCATTTGCAATTTAACTTACTTTTATTTGTATGCTCGCTGCAAACGCTTCGCGCTGGATTTTTTTGCATGCCCTTGCCGAGAGGCTATTATGATATTGCCGTGAAATATGTGAGACGTGAGTGAAAAGACATCTTTGACCCCATTAAGTATATGTGCATATTTACCCTTAGGCAGGCAGAGTCGTCTGTCTGCTGCAATGTAAACTTATCTCTCGGATGAAGCTTTGCCTGGCTGAGCCAATATATATCATATAGCTGCCATAGATACCATCCATGTATTTAGTTCTTATATGAGTTCTTATATAAGGGAGCAAAGTTCTTATGCCAAACTAGGAAGTTTCCAGCTTCAATTTGCTTTCGCGTTTTTTTAATAAAATACATCTAATACATCAAGACTGATCCTTTATATAATATTGCTCGAAAACAATAGCCCGTAAATTAAGTTTCTCCATAAAAAGGAAAAAACAGATTATAGTCTTTTTAACCAATTATTGTGGGTTCAAGGTATTAAAACATCTACTGTAGGTTCAGTTCATGATTTGAACTAACTTTCTGCCCTTAGATTTGATACATGAAGGGTTTTTTCAAGAGTCTTGAATTCTGGTTTCGGTTTGTCATATATACATACAACTTTTCGGAAACAATTCAAATTTAATTTAGAATGCTTTGATACTGGAAATATTGCACGCTCTGCATATTTTCATAGACCAGATGCGTAAGAATTCTCTAACCAAAATTGGCAACTACCATAGATATGGTTAGATGCAAGGTTCGAGCCCAGTTAAGAATATTATGGAGCTGAGTCCACCTTTAAGGTTTCTTATTTTATGTCAAAATTAATTTGTTGTTACTTAAATTTAAACATAATTGAACTCTTTTTATCTCCAATATATTTCGATTCTCATTTAGAATCGTCATCAGCTGTGAAGCTTTGTAACAACTCTCGACTTGGTTCGATTCGGTTCGACTGTGTTTTGGTTAACTGATTTTCTGTTCGTATTCAAATCTTGAACTCAAACCGGTTCGAGTCTTCCCAGCCTTCTCTGGCAAAGTGTGCACAAAAGTCTGCTAGAGCATTTGATGCTCGGCCTTTTGCAGATGCGTTTTCCGCCTTGTTTTTGTTTCTTTGCCGTGCTCAAATTTCTGCAATTACCGTTGCATCGCGGGGGGTTTTTCGGGGCTATGTTGCCAGCAATTGCATTTTCAATATTTTCAGCAGCGGCAACATCATCATTTTTTGTACGTCTTTTTTTTATGTCCAGATTCTTGTGCACTACATCTATAAATTTTTAACTACAAGCTCTTGAATGCAATTACTTTTCAATCTTTTTTGCCCTGCGCACAGTCTCAGACGCTAGCACAGACACTGTTCTGGGTGTGTGTGTGTGTGTGTGTGTGTGTGTGTGTGTAGTTGAACGCGAAAATTGCTTATTTCAACATTAAAGTTGGCAAAGTTCGCCACGTTTCGTTTCGTTAGATTTAAAAAGCAAAAGTTTGCCATAATTTTTGCCAGAGGTCTATCACTTTCTTGTCCTGCTTCTTCACTTTTATTTTTCCAACTTCTTACTTTTTGCCACTTTTAGTTCGTATTTATTTTGTGTGCAAAAGTAGGTTGAACTTTGTTTTATTTGATCTAGAAATTGACATGATTGTCTTATGCAAAAAGAAAGAGACGAGAAGAGCGAAAATAAAGTAAATATGAAAAACATAAAAAAACCGAAATGAAAAACTTGCCTTGAAATATACGCGACACTTTTCATTCATCTGTTTTCCCAGACAGCCAGACAGTTATAAAAGTTTGCCTTTTGATTTAAGAGCGAAAACTGAAAGCCAGCTAAGAATTGCATATAAATCGCAAGGATTACAGAGCTTGGCAAGAGTCAAGCTTCGGTTTGGGCATAAAAAAGCTAATATTTTGCCGGAATTGAAATGATTGTCAATTTCAGAGCTGGGCGAGCTGATCATTAATGAAGATTTCTCGCGGCAGCTGCAACGGGCCAAGAAGAACTAATCCTGGCAGGCTTTGCTGCTTACCCCTTTGCGGCCTGCCGCAGAACATGCAACTGCTTGTCGTGCTGCGTCCTTACAGCTGCTTGGAAAATTGAACTGGCACGCAGAGGTCTAATCTTTTTATAGGCCAGGCGATTTTTTTTAAGAGTAGCTGTCCGTAGCTGTCAGCCGGATTAGCGATCGGATTAAGAATGAACATGTTTGCAAAATATGTGAAACTTTATGGCTCGCAAGCAGATTAAGAATGAATCGTTTTTTATTGCGGCACAAGTCAAAATGCAACACACACGAACAGGTAGAACTCGACTAGGTAGCCTGTGCCGTGACCCAAAAAGAAACAAAAAAAAGGAAGGACTAAAGTTCGGACAGGTACGTGGCATGTCGTGCTGTCGACTGCATAAAAAGCAAGTCGAATGCGTTTGCTGACATCAAACCCAAAGCAAACTCTGCTGAGGCAACAACAGCTGGAGCAGCAGCGGCAGCAACTCTCCTCGATCCTGGTCAATAACTAAATTGAGAGCAATCAAATCGAAGTGTTGCCACAACTGCAACTGCAACATGCCACGCTACCAGCAACTTGTTAACGAGAGCAACAACAACTCACCGCAACAGCAGCATTCGGAGCAGCCGCCCAGCGTTGGCTATCATCTGTACTTGTATCGGGAACAGCTGGCCCGGCGCAAGGTGGAGTATATGCGTCTGTCGAAGGCCAAGTACTTCATTACCGAAACGCTGCTGGCCAAGAACTGGCGCAATCTGAAAGGCTGCAGCGCGGACGACCTGAAGACGGTCAACAATCAGATTGTGTTCAAGCACAAGCTACGGCATCAGATACATCGTTTGCGCAAGCTACAAAATCTGGGCATTCGCAATGCCAATCCGCACATGGAGAGCACCGAGCTGTGAGACAGTTTCCCATTTCCCATTCCCTCTTGTCGCACAGCCCCTCGGCTATGACCCGAGCATAGCGTCAGGCGGCAATGTGTGGCATCGAGCTCCCAGTGGCGGGCATGTTAAGCTAATTCCTAGTTTTAGTTTGTAATCGATTTGAGGCTGTTTTATGTTGGCCTTATTACTAAGGCTAAGTTAAAGTCATGCCGCAGAGCTGTTAAGAATTAAATAACTATTTAAAAGCTCACAAATGTCTCGTCTATATATTTTGGCTTAAATAAACCCGACATAGCTGACCGCCACGCCAACCGCACGAACCACTCGAACCACTCTCGCAGCATTTGTCAATGCAAACCTCCAACCTCCGCTGAGGCCATTTGCGGTGGCAACTAATTGAGTTCCCCCAACGTTTTGACATCTGTCAAATGAAAGTCGCAAAACTGCCAAGAAATGTCAAGTGAACTTGTGCTCTACCCAGCCAACCTCCCCCCGCCCAGCTGCCAGCTTGACACTTAATTTATGCACAATTCGTGTGCTTTGAACTCTTGCATCAATTGCAAATGTGTTTCAATCAGACTTATGACTCGCCAGAATTGTGAAAAATTGCAAAAGGGCGTTCGACATTAAAGTGGGCGTGTCACATATTGAAATGTTGCACAGTGGGGGACTCTTATTAAATACAAATTTATAATTTTAAATTATTAAAATTAATTTCAAACCTTTTTAAGCGTACTGAACATTTGAAAGAATTAAGAGTTAAGTCGAAGTTTTATTTAATAATAAATAAATAAGTTTAAAAATAGATTTAGTTGATCAGCTCAGGTTCTATCTATTCTGTTGTAAAGTCCCTCTTGCCCCTTTAAAAGCCTAAACTTATTGAGAATTACAAGCGTAAAGCAAGAAATATGCAAAGCAAACAACATTCACGTTTTCTTTACAGTGCAGCCTTTTGTCTATCAATTAATCGAGTTAAAATTTAAAAACAATTTTGGTATATTTTTTTTTGCAATACATTTTTAAACACTGTAAAATTGATTTTAATTTGTAGGACAACGTTTTTTTTTTTTGTTCTTTTTTCTTTCTACCGCGTGGCTGCAATTTAATTGCCCATCATTTTGGCAAAGTGCTTAACGCTTAACTTAACACCAGCATAATTATTTTCAGTTGAACAATATTAATAAATACCTGCCACACTCACACCATAGCACACGCACACACACACACATAAAAGTGTGTAAATATGCGTGGGCAGTAAGTCAATTTTATTATTGGAATGGCCAGCGATACAAAGGTCAAACACGAAGGCAATTATATATATATATATATGTGTGTATGTAGCAAAAGCATTTTAATTGTCAATGCACACGCACACACACATAGACACACACACACACACACACACACGCCCAGCTGTAGTCACATATGCCTGCAATTATCGCAATTTGCAAAACACTCAAAAGTATGCTATGAGAATGTTGCGCACATTAAATTTTCCACACAATCAATTTCTTGTGCCACATCCCACATGCAAACGCCGTCTGACAGACGCGCTGAAGGACATATGTTAATTTCTACAAAATATATTTATTTATGCAATCACACGCATACGCACACACACACACACACACTACACTCATGCACACACACATACAGGCATCGGCTTAATCGTCCAAACTTCCTGCTGTCAATTGTGATGCATATGAAGCCCTGTTTTGTGCCCAAGTTTTTTCAAGTGTAAGCAATCGCATTTGCTATATGAAGCAAGCGCTTCTTAAATGCTGCCCGCGTGAATATTACTCGGCTTTGCGCGGCTCAATTATTTGATATTGAATTAAAAACAAAGCTTTCATTCATTTTTGTCGCCTGAATGGGGTTTTCCAATGAGCCCAAATTTGAAATGAGGAATTTACTTTGAAGGCAATCAACTGGAAAATTTTCCCAAACAATCTGAAGCCCACCTCTTTGCGCCCTCTTCTGGGGATTTATACAAAGCTGTCACAATTTCCATCAACTTTCCAGCCCTGCAGGGGGTGAGCTGTAAGAATTGGACTACACGATCATCAATCAGTCAATCAGTTCATCAGTCCGTCTATCAGTCAGTCAGCTTATAGATTATACTTTGTTTCGAGTTTAAGCCTTGGACCATGAACGGCATAGTTTTCAACTTGGCAGCTCACGGCTCTTGTAAACTTACAGCGACAGCTGCGCCCTTGCTAGAAGAGTCGATTAGTGCGCTTCATTATGAACATCATTTTCATTATGTTTATTACGAGTAGCTACCCCGCCCGCAGGCGGGCAACCGCTCGCCCCGTTCGCCACACTTTGGGCGCGTCCTTGCCGAGCGGTTTCAAGTTAATGCAATAAATAAAATTTCAACTGCACCGCCGGGCATGTTTAGCCGCATGAAAAGCGACAGTAAGCCCTGCCTGCATAAGAAGTTGCCTGTTTATCTTAGCCGGGCCTGCCTTTTGTTTGCCAGCCCGTCCTGTCCTCTGTTGTCCTGTCCCGTCTGTTCACGGCTCGGTCCCTGACCCGTTTCTTTGGCTACCGACCTGACTGTTTTCTTGCTTTCAGAAAAAATACAAATAAAAGCGAGTGTCCGACTATAAGATACCCAGCGCTTTCCTCCCTTTACCCCACACTGTGGAACATGTTGTATTTTCGAGTATATTCTGCGCTTAAAATCCGATCTATAAATTGTTCAGCTTGTGGCAGTCTCATCGACTTGATAATATATCTATTATCGATGAATTAGAGCTTAGTCATAAACAGGACTCTCGAGTTTCGAGATTCGTGAGAGGTGTGCAATCATTTGAAATATATCTAGACCTTTTTGCTAATAAATAAGATATGCAAGTAAAGTCGCACAATCTATATGCTCTATTGTTTTAGGTTAAGGCTTCCTTCTGCCTGTAACATGATTTTGCGCGAACCTATTATACCCTTCATAACCAGTCTCCATATAGGTTCCGGGCATAAAAAGAAGCAAACTTGTGACCCACCATCCAAGAGGCCCTCCCCTCCTGCAACCAGGCAGAACGCCTGTTTGGTTAGCGCAGTTGCTTAGCTGCTTGCTTGGCTGGCTCAACTTGGGTGGTTTGGCTCGGCCGACAGCTCTAATGAGTTTACAAAAAGTTTTGGTTTAACTGTGCGCAGGGGGACGGGAGGGGAGGGGGTGTCTAAGACTGAGCCCAACTGTTGGCTGCCCAGCATGTTATACAAATTGCAGGCTCCTCGCCCGCCCTGGCAAAAGCTGTCATCAACGTGTCCAGGCTGAGACTCAGTCATCTATTTGTTTAACCCATGCCCATTTGCGGATTAAGTCGCATTGTACCTGTTTACCATGCAACTAGACCAACAGGCGACTATGCGACTATATATCTAGCGAAACTTTTCACATTTATGTGCAGCCAGAATATGCATTTTAATTAGTTTAGCAAAGTTGCCGCTTTTCTCAGACTTGCTCGTCCCAGTCCCAGTCCCTGTCCCTGTTCCAGGCTCAGCCTCAGCCTCAGTCTGGTTAATTACACAAATTTAATGGCTGCTGCTGCTGTTGCTGCTGTTGCTGCTGCTCTTGTTGCTGTTGCAGCATTTGTCACAGCTCTTTAATGTGTGTTGCTCTCAAAGTTTTGCATGCCTACGAGCTGCACCCGCCGCAAAACTTGTTAACATTTCACAAAGCAGCAAATTCAATTAGTTTAGTTGTAGACAAGTACACGAACAAGAACAAGAACAATTGCAATCGGATGCCATTGACCGCTTGATGCTCTGCACACAGTTCAGACAGCTGAATAGGAATCTTTTTGTTTAGACTGTGTGACCCAAGGCAGTAGCTCTCAAACTGTGACGTTGGAAAATATAGATTATCGCAGTGTGCAGCAGTTAATTGGCCAGAAATTTTGCCTATAACATGCCTGGCGGGGTATATAAACAGATCACGCTTTGTCTAATCGACAAAATTTGAGTTCTTGAATATACTACAAAAACATAAATTGCATTCATGCAGGCAGGCACACACAACTAATATGCTCTTTTTCCATTTGTTAACAGCGCATTAAATGCGCTTTCTCTCTCTCTCACATTCGCTCAATGTGTTGCTCTATCTATATCTCTCCCACTCTCCATCTCCCTCTCCATCTCCCTCTCTCTCTTTCTCTTTTTCAGCTGCTGTGCATTTAAGTAAATTACTTAAAGTTCCTGCTGCTGCAGTTGGTCCATTGCGATAAATCTCTGTCGCCTGGGCTCGCAATTTACTTAACAATTTTCATCTAAGCGCATAAATTAATATGTCCAAACATAAATCTGTCGACTGTTTGTGGGCGTCCAGTGGCAACATTTGCCAACAGACACTTGATGTAACATGCAGCAGCAACAACAGCCTGACGACAGCAACAAAAAAAGGCAACTTAATTCATTAGAATTTTCAATAAATTAATTTCAATATATATTAAGTGCAGTTCCCCGCTCAGCGAACTCGTCACAGTCTGCTCAGTCTGTCAGTTTGTCAGTCTGCCAGCTCTTGTGGCACTTCATCTTCATCTCAACCGCAGTTCGGGTCCTTTAGCAGGCGGCAGCTTCCTGCCATGTTGCACACGTCTGTGGCGCCACTTTAAGCAGCTGCTGCACATGGAATTATAGAAGAATCCCCACCCGGCTGGCCGCATCCCTCAACTTGCTTAGCCTGAGCCGTGTTTAGCTGTCTGCGAATTGGGCGCTCCAAAGCGGTGATTATGTCGTCTCCACGCCTCTATGCTTCACCCTTAGCGCGGATGCGCTCATTGCTCAGCCAATTTTTCTTGCTGGCATCAGTTGAATAAATTAAGATGCTCTGTAAAGCAGCTAAATGAAATTGTTTATTCCCACACCCTATATCCACTGCAAGTGGGTGTATATATATATCCTGTCTGTCTGCCCACTGTCTATAAGCTCAGCTTAAGAGGACATATTCGCTCGAGACACCGAATATCTAATAAAAACTCTTGCATGCCAGATGAAAAACCAGTTAAATAGTCGAC